GTTATTATGGACTCGTGAGAAATACGTCTGTGGTGGTTTTATTTACACATTATTTAAATGGTCTACTTCTATTTTTTTTTTTTCCTTATCAAGGTTCTCTGTTTTATCTTACAGACTCTTAAGAAGGATACAGATCATGCATGCTTTAACTTCTTCTGTTTAAAGTCCAAGTGCTGTGCTGGGTATAATGTATTTTGATCTATTTCATATAAGTATTTACTACCATTAAAAATTAGATTATTTGGAACTTTTCTGGAGTAGGTGATGGGTAGTGAGTTTAGATTTCCTTCCTGCTTCTCTGGGTTTCCCGTGTTGACGGAAAGTGGTCATGTAGACATTCAAGAAGAAAACACAGGCTAAAATAGACCGGATCATGAAAACATGCCACACAGTGGTTTCTGAGCTGGCATATGTGAACTGCTCGCTTAAAAATATTTGTGTTAGGGTTTCTTCCACTGATGAACAGAACTATTTTTCCTTTAATACCATTTTAGAATTTGCCCAAACCTGCTTCTGTTAGGGCAGCCACAGAACAGAAAGAAACCAAATGTCTTCAAATACAATGTCTAGACTAAAACCAACCCCATCACCGTTACTGTCACTACTATTAGTGGCCGTATGAACAGCCGCAACTCTGCAATGAGAGAAGACTATACTCAACAGTCATGGAAGACGACACCCGTGAGCGTGTGTGTGGGACACAAGCATAGAAACTAATCGGTCATGAGCCCAACACTTTAGTTCTCCAGCGCGATCGTGGATGCGCTTCATAAATTCAAGTCAGCAAGTTATGTTCTCACCACTGGTTTCTAAAGGGTTAGAAACTCTCTTACAAAGCGCCGCCCTCCGAGTTGTGGAGCCATGAGGCTGCAGCCGGCGCTGCTCCCGTGTGGTCTGGAAAGGCCCTCCCAGGCTTCTACCCTCGGAAGGAGACCCCCGCTCCTCCGCGTGGAGGTCTCCAGGAGCACTGCATTTAGCATCACTTATTAATGCCACACAGGGTCCCCAGGTTAGGTGTGGAGCGTCCCTGCCCGGCTCTGTGCAGTTCCATGAGATCAAGTGGGGCAGAGGGCGGGGAGCACGGCACCCGGAGGACCCCACCCGAGACACTTACCACATCGCGTGCATGTAGGTGGGCGGCAGCCGCGGGCTGCTGACGGGAGTGCAGTTGTATGACCTCATGATCCTTTCCGCCAGTAAGAAATTTCGAAACAGACTAGCCACCAGCAAATCCTGTCTGAAGAGCTTCTGGAAGAGATCTGAGGGCAGACAAGATGGAAAGAAGTCCTTAGTGATTTGTGTCTATCATTTAAAGCCAAATTCACTTCCATCAAAAATTCCATCAACACACATTCACTTGCATCAAAAGTTACTAAAAACAAGTCGGGACTAATATGCATATTTCCCAACAGCAGCACACGCTTAAACACACACACGTACACACAAAATATACATGCATGCACACACATGCGTATACAGATATATACATATATGCGCACAGACATGAACACACAAGCATATGCAGACATGTGCACACATATGCAAATATACACATGCGTGTACACATGCACACATGTATATGCATACACAGTGCACATATACATACATGTAAACAAACACCCCAAATCAACCAATCAATACACAAAAAATATGAACGAGCCTATTCACATTTGGTTTTCAGCAAATGTGAATAATGCTGATGACTATCTAGATCAGCCGCCCTGCCCGGTGAAGGGCAAATGCTGACATGGCGTCTCTCCACACTGTGGGGAGAACTGGTGTCCTGGAACTCACCACCGCCAGCAGAAACCGCCTTAGGTGGTCGTCTTCTCCTTTTCAGCCCCTCCCACTGTCTTCCTGCCAGTGAGGCCTCACTGATCCCATACCACTTCTCTCATGTCCGAGAGTCACTCCCCACGCTCCCAAGGCCACAGTCTCCCTCCCCAAGGCCCGACCCGCGCCTCACCCCGGGGGAGCACGTTCCACGCGATGGTGTCTGTGATGGCCGTGAAGATCCAGTTCAGCTCACCCAGGGGCGTCCTCCTGTCGTTCAGGCGGCCGGGGATTCTAGAAGACAGGGCGCGTTCTCATGAGTGATGCCATGGCTCTGAGGGCAGGTAATGGAGCAGAGCTTGCAAGAAGAAAGGGCGCAGGCGGCCAAAGGCTCTGAGCAGAGGTTCAGCGTGCGCCAGCCAGGAGAATCAGACTCACCACCATTTGCAGCTTCCCCCTCCCCGCACACCTCCAAAAAGGCTGCTGCTTCCCATATCCCCAGACGTGCACACCAAGGCCAGCTGGTCACACATGGTTCCCATGGACCGCTGACTGGACAGTCCATGGCGCGTACTGAAAGCAGTGCACACCACCCTCCGCAGGCCCACGCGCCGCGCTCCCCAGGCCCACACCCATCGCTCCCCAGGCCCACGCCCGGCGCTCCCCAGGCCCACGCGCCGCGCTCCCCAGGCCCACGCCCATCGCTCCCCGGGCCCACGCCCGGCGCTCCCCGGGCCCACGCGCCGCGCTCCCCGGGCCCACGCCCGGCGCTCCCCGGGCCCACGCACCGCGCTCCCCGGGCCCACGCCCATCGCTCCCCAGGCCCACGCCCGGCGCTCCCCAGGCCCACGCACCGCGCTCCGCAGGCCCACACCTCAGCCTGCGAATGCTGTGGAGGCGCATGGTCCACACCGGGGGGAGTCTCGCCCACAAGGTCTACTTCACTCCCACGTATTCAACCCGCGGCCGATGCTGCAGCAGAGATGTGGGGACTGCCAGCGTGTGCCCAGGCCCTGTCCTCGGGGAGCCAGGTCTCGGGGGAGCGACAGGCAACAGGCACACGCAGAAGCACATGAGAGGTGCCCAGTGACGGCAGATGACAGAGAAAACACGACGGAGTGGGAGGAGGAGGCTGCTGCGCTTGGCACGGGGCGGGCGGCACCCAAGACCACTCCTCAGCTGTGAGAAGGAGGAACCATGACTTTCGCAGCAACCGGGATGGAGCTGGAGGCCATTGTTCTAAATGAAGTCACTCAGGATGGAAAACCAAACGCCACACATTCAGAGCCATGAGTATGAGTCCGCTACTGAGAGCACTGAGCAGATCAGTGATTCCCATTGTGGGGACCCATGTGACGGCGCCGTCTTCATACGAATAACGTTCAGAGGCTGTGGGTCAGGAATCCAGGGCAGCTGAGTCAAGTGAGCTGCTTTTCTAAAACTGCTGTAGTTGGAGTCCCGCTGTGTTGCCCAGGCTGTTCTGGAACTCCTGGCTCAGTGATCCTCCCGTCTCCCCCTCCCAAAATGCTGGGATGACAGGCGTGAGCCACCATGCCCAGCCTAAGCCAGCTTCTTAATATAATTCTTCAACACATGCTCTTTCCTAAATGCCTTTTCCTTTAGGAACAAAAATAATGTCTTATTTCCTCAAAATAGGCTCAGTGATAGGACAAGAAAAATGAGAAATTATATGAGAAATCGGTATAATATTCTAAAACAGCACTGTTGCTCAAACGATACCAGAAGTCTCAAACAAAGATTTCCAAATGCAAGAAAAATTTTGACCTCCACACGAGAGACTTGAGTATACCCAACATCAAGGTTTTATGGTCAGGCTGCTGGCCAGGGCGGACCTCTGAGAAGCACCTTTCAGTAGCTTTGTGGGTGGGGCAGGATGGGCATCATCAAGGATTCCCACCATTTAAAAGAAACCAGGGCCTGGAGGCGAACACGCAGCCCGAAGACATCAGAGCCTCGTCTCACCCCGCTTCCTTCTCCCCAGCCTGCTCCCACTTCAGAACGAGCATATCAGACCTCCGAGCAGAGGAAAAGCAAAGACGCTCGCTCGGTAACAACCTGCAACAGAGCGTTGCCCCACCGAGGCATGTAAGGGTGGGGCGCACCTCCCAAAGAGAAGATCTTCCTTATGAAACACAAGCAAACAGCCTGGGAACTCGTTTTACCAGGCTGCGCCTCTCAGCCCTCAAGCGCAAGTGCAAACAGGGGTGGCTGCCCTGTGCCCTGGGAAACAGTATGGTGGAGGGGCATGGGGGGCATCCTGCGGTGGAGGTGGAGCCCCAACACACTGTCTTGGGTTCCACATCTGTGAATGAGAAACACATATGCTGAAATCCTTTTTAATGAAACGACTGACAAGATCGTCAATCACGACGTTCTGCAGAAATGCTGTCTCTTTCAAGCTGCAGGACTCTCATGGAGACGCGCCTGCCCTCCTCACCAAAGCCGAGCAGAGGAGGCACGGCGCCCAGGCCACCCCTCCTCATCAAAGCCGAGCAG